TGTTGGTAGGCGTGCTGGGCTGGGAGAGGGGCTGTAGCTGTTGGTAGGCGTGCTGGGCTGGGAGGGGGGCTGTAGCTGTTGGTAGGCGTGCTGGGCTGGGAGGGGGGCTGTAGCTGTTGGTAGGCGTGCTGGGCTGGGAGGGAGGGAGATGAGGGGAGAGGGCAGAGAGCAAAGGAAGCCCACGACATGTGAGAAGGCAGGACACCAGCTGTGGCCCTCCCCTCCCAGGAGAGTCTATGTGACCCCTCTGAAGTAARCCCTGCTTCGTGGGCAGCCTCGGGGGCCTCTCCAGTGTGCTCCTTCCACACTGGGGAGCAGGACACTCTCCTATGACCGTCACCGTACCTGGCAGTTTCWCCCCTCGCTGGCTCTCAGCTGCCCCTGGCCCTGGAGGCGCTGGTGAAGCACCACAGCAGGCCCAGAGGCCCATCGTGCTGGAAGCCGAAGCCTCACGCTCCGAGCCACGCAAGATGACACCACGAGGCAGACGGCCACTCTGCTGATGCAGGGCCCCCCAGAGACCCTTACCCATTGGCCTGCTCCATGCCCCCTCACAACACGCTCCAGAAAATTCACAGGAGGAACGGCCACTTATAGGACCCAGGAAAGAGGTCAGCTTTCTTTAAACTCCGAGTTTGGGAATCAAACCCACAAGGGTTCTCAGGTTGGACGCAGAGGAAGCCAGACAAGCCCCAGAAGGGAGCAGTGGGGAAAGCGGGGTCCCAGAGCCTGGCCAGGAAGCAGGACTTACAGAGCGTGGGCTGGGAGCAGAGGGAGATGGGAGAGCCAGAAAGGGCCGAGGAACCAGGGGCCGCAGCAGCGGGTGGGAGACAGGTGTAAAGGCCCAGAACTCTGGAAAGCAAATAAGCCTCTAAAAGTTTAGTTTTCCTTAGATAAATGAGGGATGCTAYGGCCACAGACAATTCAGGCCATGGAGGGGCATGGCACCTGCCGTCATGCCCCACCCTGCTCCCCATACATCTCTGCTCCCTTGGTGGCCACCATGTCCGAGCCCACCTTTGTGACAGTCTTGTTGTGCAGCCCAGGCTGGCCTCAAAGCTGTACCCTCCGGGTGCGTGGGACCATGGGTGCAGGCCACAACCCCTGGCTCATCTTTTCTTAAGGTCAGAGCTACAACAAAGTCGCTTCTTTGTTCTTGTGACAATGGGCATGTAACCTTCCCAAGTCGTTATGCCACGGTGTGACTGGCCACCAGACTCAGGCTGAACCTGCAGTGCCAGGAGCTCAGACTTGGGTGAACCTTCTAAATGCCTTTTGAGTGGTTCCTTCCTGTAAGGATGGCCTTAGGCCTTAGCCTAAGCAAGTCCATTTTAAAACTCCATTTTAAAATAAAACTGCAGTCTCACCAGGCAAGCCACAGAGCCCAGGTAAGAGAGTGAAGTCACATGTCATTTGTCATAACCCTGATAAGAGTCAAAAGTGTGATATCAGGGCAGAAACCACCAAACCACATGTCCTGACTCTAAGAATGAAAGTTGTCACTAAGAAACCTGGTCACAGCTGATAGGGACCCAAAGGATTCGCAGAAGCTCCAAGATTTAGTATGAATAACGGAACAAATAACAGACATTCAGCCAGCCGACACTGACGCACACAGCCCTAGAGCCTGGTAAGCACCTGGACAGACAGCCCAGCTCTTCTCATCATCTGCCTGATCCTCTGCCTTGTCCTCATGGCTCTCAAACTCTACTGCAGCCTCCTGACCTGGTGAGAACAGGGACCTCTCCTCACACCCTCTCCTCACCAACCGTCAGCTCCACCCCAGGAGAAGCTATGGGTTCCTGGCCTGGGTGCTGTGGTCTGAGTAGACACCTGCTGGGTTTAAGACCTAAGACTCAAAAGACTTTAAATCTAGCACTTAAGCTCAGCATGCAGAGGGAATGTCTGTGATAGGTCTGTCGTGACTAAGGGTGTTKGCAGTGCTTAGAGTTAACTAAGAATTGTTTGCTTTGAACTGATCATGTCTAYTGCAGTGCCCAGCATTAAGGATTGTCATTCCCTGACGAAGAACCTATAGTGAAACTGTACTGAGTGATCTTGAGTGAATGAAGCATTGAAAACGGCAGGAACGTGTGGACTGCAGATGTCGCACTTTGCCCATCGCAACACTTCCTCGGGTGGAGACCTGGGAAAAGGATCAGGTCGGAGGCTCTAGAGCTAATGGGAGACAGAGGGCAAGGGCAGTGGGCGGCGAGGTCCTCCCTCCTTACCCTGCCCGGCCAAGGGTGACTTTCTTGTGGATGCCTATGATGTTCACTGTATCCCCACCACCTTCGATGCCTTTTTCCATCCCAAGCATCTGCTGAAAACCCGAGTGTCTCCGCGGCCCGTGGTGGGACTCCCCCAGGGAAGCACTGAGTACCCGTCTGAGGTGTTCCACCCCAAAGTCTGGCACCTTCTTGGAAGGGCCCACTTACTAAGGTGGAACATTATTTCTGGACCTTAGCCTCAGGAAAGTTAACTCCAGTTATTAGATCTTAACTTTAACAAATGGAACATTTTTTATCTTTAGAAACTTATGCCCTAAAAATAGTACATCAAACTAAAACAACACGTTCTATCCTAAACACATGAAATTCAACAGCCAAGTTGTCATTGAACACCCGACGGGACAGGCCTCCTGGGGCTAAGACACAGCCTCACCTTTCTCAGCTTCTCCGGGGAGAACTCCAGGCCCACGAGGAAGAGACTGAAGAAGACCCCGAACTCTCCCAGGGTCTCCACCTGGACCACGGACTGCAGAGCAAGGGTGGAGAGGCGAGTGAGTCCAGGCCTCCAGGGAAGCCCCCACACCCCCCTGGTGCTGGGCCCCGGCAGGAAGCCCCCAACACTGGAACTTTAAAGAGAACAATTCCCGGAATTTCTCCTACATCTGGTCTTCCCCTTGTCTCCATTCACAGAGAAGCATGCTTCTCTCCGCTGTCTGCAAGCTGCTCTGGGCCTCCCCAGCACTGTTCGCTGGCCACCTCTGGGATGAGGAGGCAGCTCACTCGGCGCTGCTTGCTCTTGGCTCCTGTTAGGGCCGAGCAAGTCCCTGCAGGTGTATCTCCCCCGAGTTCAATGCCCACATCCACAGTGTTGGTGAACAGCTTCTGTGACTGCTCTGACTCTTCACTTGGTGTTTACTTTTAATGTTTTCACTAGATAAATAAATAGCACAAAATATTTGATGTCTCTGTCCTGGTAACTAACAGTTCAATCCTTTTATTTATTTATTTTTTTGTATTGGGGATTAAACCTACAGGTGCTTAACCACTGAACCACATTCGCAGACCTGTTTATTTTTTATTTAGAGACAGGGTCTCACTAAGCTGCTGAGGCTATCTTTGAGCTTGCCACCCTCCTGCCTCAGCCTCCAGAGTTGCTGGGATACAGGTGCCCAGCTCCATCTTTTGAAATGCTCCCATGGCACTGTCCTGACCCCCTGAGCTGGCCTCACAGGTGAAGACCCCGTCCTGTTGCKACTGGCACCCCGCCTTCTGCCTGTCTCAGCTGCTGAGTGCTGCTTGGTGCTCTTCTTGGCACTGTGGGTGAACCTCAGCTGCCCACAGAGCGCCTCCCTGCACTGGCTGGCAAACCCAGCCCTGCCCTGACCCACGTCCAGCTGCTCTCTCTCACTTCTCTTCCCGTTCCCTGATTGTGCTGTGACTCCAAAACAACAACCTGAACTCGGGAGTGGAAGCCTGAGCCCCCTGCACAGGGGCCTTCCCCACTCCTACAAGGTGCTCCTGGATGGCCATCTGAAACCACGGCTCCTTCCTCAGTGCCCCTGGCCTTGACCCTGCTCCTGCTATCTTGGCTGAGGAGGAAGAGGGCACCGTGTCTGCCTGGACTTGCTGACGCCTGGAAGGGTGGGATGAGGCAGGAGGCTCCGGCCTGCAGCCTTCCCTGMTGCTGAGCCGCACTCGGTGCCAGTGCAGAAAGCCACACTGAGGCCCTCTGTGCTGCCAGGGGGCGAGCAGCCTCCATGTGACCCTGCGTCAGGTCAGCTGACAGCTCCCAGCTGAAGGTGCTGGCAGGCAGCTCTGCAGCTGGCCAGGGCCACCTGCTGCTCAGAGGAGCCCCAAATGGTTCYTCTTCAGACCCTTTCTGCTATGTCGGGAAAATCACTGAGGTTCAAGGCGTACCAGTCACTAGTGGGGGGAGCAGGGCTCCTCACCCCACGGCCCTGGACATACCAGCAAAGCTGGGGGGCGTTTGTGGCTCATCTTTAGCCTCCTGGGATGTTGAGTGTGCTCAGATGACACGCTGGGAGGCCACCAGGCTTGGGACCCTTCCTTGCTGTGAGAGTGTTCACCTGTGACAAGCAGCAACTGGTCTGAAGCAGCTCTGGCAAGAGCAGCCCGGGCCCTGCTGCCCTGGGACGGTGCCACAGGCGCTCCTGGTGCACGTTCAGGACTGCACAGGCACAGGAGGGACCCAGCACTTCCAACAGCCTGGCGCCTGAGGACGTCTGGATGACTGGAAACAGAGCCTTTATGCTAATGACCATGGAGCCAGCGGCCTCTGGGTCATGGAGGGCAATGCCCCCAGCTCTAGGGTGTGTTCCTGGCACGGGGGGAGGACGGCTCTTCATTGACTCCAGTTCAGAGCTCTCGTCTGTGTCTGTCCTGTCCAGTATCAGAACAGTCAAGTTCTGTTCTTACCTTGATGCTGTTCAGTCCTGAAGGCCCCAGAAGCACACCGCAGATGATGTACCCAAACATGGTGGGCAGCCCTATTGCTGTGCACAGCCAGCCACAAGGTAGGGACAGCACGCCTATGGAGACAATGTCCTAGAGCGGAACAGACAAGCACAGATCAAGGGGACGGGTGGGCTGGGATGGCAGGATGACGGTCAGCCCCTTACAGGAACCAGCAGACAACAGGACTGAGAGGTTTTATACTGCCGTGTCTGCAGCAGAGCGCAGCACACGGTGTCGGGAGCAGACGAGCCAGCTCTGGTTTGTCCTGCTCACGCCCCATAGCATGCTCCATCTCTCCCAGCCCTGGACTCCACCCATTCCTGGCCTCAAAGCCCTTGCAGATGGGGTCCTCCCTATGACTCTCTGCTTGTCACCCACACGGACAAGTCTTCCACAGGTGTCAGAACCACTGGGTGAGAACTTACTGGGAGCAGGCTGTTCACAGTCCCAAACACATCCCCAGATGCGACTTACTCATCRCAATGGGAGAAAGGGACTGCTGTGAAGGAGGCACGGAGTTGGTCTACGGACGTGGCCTGTTCTTTCACAATCAAGGACAGCAGGACACAGGCCAGCRCCCGGGAGGAGCCCTCTTCCCTGGGAACCGAGGCCCAGCCTCTCTGGTTTCTGTTCCTTGCAAGGCTCTGCCTTAAAGAGTTCTGTGGAGATCTGAGCTTATCTGATCCCTCCAGGCCCCCTGGAGGGTGCACTCCACTCCAGACTGGGCCACTTCCCGGGAGGACCTGGAATGCCACGCCCTGTGCCCCACGTCCACACTTCTCTGCCTCAAAGGGCTTTCTCTTTTATAAAAAGGAGTTTGTTTTCTTTAACCTCAGGTTATAATTTTAGATGGCGCCTTGCTATGTTGCTAGAYTGGTCTTAAACCCCTGGGCTCCAGCGATCCTCCTGCCTCAGTCAACCGCTCAAACAGGTCTCAGACAGCGAGAGCTTTAATCCCATGACGGTCACTCCAAACTTCAGAGAGTCCTCCAAATTCTCCAAAACAGAATCAAATTTCATCTTAAATGTCAAGACGCCTTTTTCCTTTAGAAACAATTAACTAAGGGATGCTGTCTCCAAGCCCAGCACGGGATGCCAGCATTCTCTGGCAGGAGGAAGGCTGTGCACCACCCCCCTCGGAGGGGGCCCGCATCAGGTCAGGCCTGCTGACTGCCCAGCGAGACGGGCAGGTGGCCTCAGCTTGCCTTTATGAAGTGGTGGTCTGCACGTGGAATGGTGGCGTCCCGGGGCTTCGTGAGGACATACTGGTTGTTCTGGGAGTCGATCAGCATGCTCAAGCCCAGGCCCTCCTCCACATCCCGCTTTGTGATGTTCTGCTTGGAACTGGCCTCTTCCTCCTCCACCCGCAAAACTGCCTCAAAGTTGACCCCTTTGACCTGTGAGAGAGACCAATATCATGCCATCAGAATCATGTTGATGCTTYTGCAGTCAACATCAAGAGGAAAGAACATACATCAAGGTAGACGTGTTCACACTGTGTCTAACAAGACAGAAGACCACCAGCAAGATGAAGGCACTCGCTCAATGAAGCATTTCTGGGCAGAAGCAGCCGCTGCTACTTCCAGACATCCACTTGACCTGATGCAGGGCACACGCTCACACTTGACCCCAGAAACTGAGAATTTAAATATCAGTTTCTGTTTCTTTCTCTCCACCCTTTCGTGGGTCCAGCCCTAGACCCACAGCCAGTTCTCCGCTGGCCTTGGTCTCGCCCCAGGGTCTTAGCCTGTCAGAACTGAGCAGCTGGAACCTGCTTCCTCTGACCAGGAAGAAACCCCCCAAGCCTCCCGAGGCCACAGTCCCAAGCCCCGTGAGTGGCCAAGCTGGGCTGGCAGTGAGTGCCAGGGGGCGAAGAAGCAGGTTGGCCGCCCACTCCTGCAGCCCTGCCAGAGCACCCGCGTGTCGCTCCCAGACCCTGAGTCACAGCCGCACCGATGGCCAGGCCCAGCAGCACAGCTCGCAGGGCAGAGGTGCCAGAAGGCGGCTTACTGATTTGTTGTCATCRAAGGCATGCTCCTCTATCTCCTCCTCTAAGCGATCTGCCGCCCTCCTCACGTCCTCGAGGATCTCGTCCAGCATGGAGAGGCTCTTGTTCTGATGCTGCATGTGCTTAAGGGCTTCCACCTGATGTTTTTCTGCGGCGAGAAGTTCCACATACTCGGTCTCTTCCTATTTGTTCGTAGGAAAGGGCAAGATACATTACAAGAAAAACCAGGAGGGGACTCATCTGCTCAGGGTCCTGGTGACTAGACCCACCAGAGGTGCTCCAGGTCAATGCCCCACCGCTGCACTGTGACCGACTGTCCAGCAAGGGAGGTCAAGCACCCCAAACACAGGGAGCTTCGGAATGTGCAGGGACAGCATCTGCACCCAGGGAAGGCCCCACTGCAAGTGGGTCCAGCTCAGGGAGAGCATCTGCACCTCCACCCCTGGGGAAGGCAGTGTCCACTGCAGGTGGGTCCAGCTCAGGGACAGCATCTGCACCTCCACCCTGGGGAAGGCAGTGTCCACTGCAGGTGGGTCCAGCTCAGGGACAGCATCTGCACCTCCATCCTGGGAAGGCAGTGTCCCCTGCAGGTGGGTCCAGCTCAGGGAGAGCATCTGCACCTCCACCCTGGGAAGGCAGTGTCCACTGCAGGTGGATCCAGCTCAGGGACAGCGTCTGCACCTCCACCCTGGGAAGGCAGTGTCCACTGCAGGTGGGTC